ATTCATAATAAAGTTTATACATACCAATACTGCAATATTGTTAAATATAGCGATAGGCATTCAATCAACATGTACGGATCTTGACCTAAGGTTTATGTATGTAGGCGAGGACATAATTACAGGTTTGTATTGTATAAAAAATTTTTTAGCCACGTATAATTATTTTTCTATTAATATAACAATGAAAAAATATCCGAATAGCATACTCATACGTAAAGATAAACAAAATTATACCGAAAAGTGGCATATCTTTAGAGGGTGGAAGCACGGGTGTAAGGTCTGTGACGAATGCAATCATCATTCACATCTATATTGCAAACCATATAAAAAAGTAGCGAATGGAATATATAGGCAATGTGAATGTGAAAATTTTCTAAGGGAGCCTCAAATAACTAAGTCAAAATAAATCGAAATTAGTAATGATACGTAATAATGATACGTAGCAGTAGCTTAAGCAGAATTTACTGACACCTCTTCGAACATTTTTGTTAACATGTGACAGAATAAATTCTGCATTTATTTGTAGCGGAACGTCATGATATGGGATCATCAAAAAATGCAATGGTTGTAACACAAACATCAAATCATGCCGATAATATAAATACCCGAAGAAAAAAAAATTCGTCTTTTAATATTTTTGTTGGCTTTTGTTGATTGGCTGTTTTATTTATTTAATAAATTTTGAGATTATCAAACATGACTAACATCGATAACCAGCCCCCAAGTTCTGTATCAATAATGTGGGTCTTACTTGAGGGAAAACCGAGAGCTGTTAAGTTGAAAAATGACGTAACACAAATTCCAGAACTAGATGACCTCTACCCTGTTCTCAAAAAAGAGTTTAATGAACTTCAAGATATCGAACGAAGTGACATTGAATTTTTTTCCTTCGATGACTATCATAAACTCTCACCTCTTCGTAGTGGAACATTACTTACAGATATAGTAACAACGGATATATCCCCGCTTGTTGTGAGGTACCCCTTTTCAGATACCAGCGGTAAGTACATGTATAATAATTTGATTTACTTTCATACATAGCCTCATTAGTTTTTCCAACTGTAGTTATAGTAAAGTATAGGTTTTTACGAAATTTGGATACTTATGAAATGCCTCATTCTAGTGGCTCTTGGATTTTGCTTCGGGAAGCTGTCAATAAAAGCTTCGAAAAGTTGCAAACTTGCGATTTTTATTTTATTTTTAAAATTAACTCAGAAGAAAAAAAAATTGAGAACGAATTCCAGTTCAATAAATTAATGGATAGAACAGATTCAAACGATAAAGGCGAACGTTATCTAGACCTTAAAATACAGATAAAAGGTAAAAAAGCATATGGAGACTGGACCCTCAAGGAGGTTTCTAAGGAGATATATAATGATGCATTTGATTCTATCGAATCAATGTCGATATTTGAAATAGAAGAAATTTTCATATTAGACCCTCCGTTTAATGATAATGATTTAAAACGGTTTAAAGACAACCTTCAAGAAAAGATGAATGTTTTTCACAATGAGGTTACCACAAATGAAGCAACTGCACGAGAATTTATTTCAGTCTTCCTATCTTTAGCAGTTAACCACGTACGAGCATGTAATGATCCATCAACACGATTAATGGTGGAAGTTGAACTCGATGGAAGCCGTGGCTACGGTGTTTTGGATTACAGCGTCTATATACAGAAAATCCCTATTTTAGTGACAGAAGCCAAACCACATGAAAGCGAGAAAGCCGTCGCACAAACTTTAGTACAAATTCACAGTGCCGCGGAATCACTGTTGGGTAAGCGAAAACGATCCGAGCAAACGATGTTTGGTATCGTGACATCAGGTCGTTCTTGGCGTTTTATCCGATGGAACGGGACATTAGAATCCCCAAAAGCAGAGATAACGCAAGAATACCCTTGCATTTTTGAAAATGATATGAGAGAAGCCAAAAAGGTGGTCTCTTACATTGTGCGAGTGCTGCAAGCACAAGCTAAATCATTGAACAAAGAGGAACCGTGTACAAAACGACTATGTACTGATGAATAAGGTTAATATATTTTTTTATATGTGGCATTACTTATTTTAAGTGTATAACTAATGATTAATAAAAGTTGAATAATTTTTAGATCCTTTTTCCTTCTGGATGCATAAAAAAGTTGAATAATTTTCAGATCCTTTTTCCTTCTGGATGCAAGTGTTTTTTTTTAGAGAAATCGAGATTCCTATTTTGTACATTGGCAGAGTGACAATAAAGTATGGCTTTTGATTATTACATGATTACATAAATCTATTAATTAGTATATAATCACATTTGTAGTAATTACGAATTGCATAGCAACGAAATGACGTTTTTTGCGTGTAGTGAATTAATTTTTGATATGTATTACTATGTAAAATTTGCATACCATGGTTAATTGAATGATTTTTATTACTATCGAAGAAGTTTGGTGTAAGAATTATTCACAATCCAGTACTTATTCTTCTTACGACATACTCTAGTATTATTATTAACAATGAAAAAAGCCATTGGTTCTGTTGCAAAATATATTATACGGCCCTCATTTTTACGATCTCGCATAATACAATCTCAAATGGACTTGACTTTACATATATTTGAGGTAGCTGGGCCTGGTGGATACATAATCGCGTTTACTTTTGCATGTGTATTTCGTGAATTTATTTTATTGTATTATTATCGATGTACATTACTCACACGTGATCGAGAATTTTTAAAATTTTTCCTGGCATTTTTTGAAGAACATTGTTCTGTGAAATTTCATCACATGACTTCTGGTTTGGTTCTCTCGAAAAGATATCTTATAAAAATAATTGAAATTAAAAAGCATTAGAATAACAAACCATTTTTCAGCACTTTGTGCAGACATAGCCAAGACGTGGTTAATAAAAATCTTTTTCCGAGTATTTGTGATAAAGTTATATAATATAATATTAAATATGTGAACACAGGGAGAAAAGACTAAAGACTTATCCCAAACTGTTTCATTATGAGAATTAAATTCAAAGCTTATTACCATAATTGCAGAACTTAGAAGGGAGAATTCTAAAATCAAGACTAAGAACGTCGAACTTAAAGCTGAGAATGTAAAAGTTAAAACTGAGAATAAAAAATTAAAACAAACTTTAGAAGAACATGGTGCCAGATTTACGAATCTAGAACAGAAAGATAAAGAAAAAACCAACCTTATTGCTAAACTTGAGCAGAACGATAAAGAAAAAACGGATCTTATAGCTAAATTGGAATATGACGTTTCACTAATCAAAGGACAAGACAAGAGTATGGTGTGCAATCAAATCGTTACTAATGTTTTGCAAGATGTAGAACCTGGAATCTCTGATTCATATCCTGTAAATTTTAATTATGTTCCTGAAGATATAAATTTACTATGTGATGATAATGATATAACTAATAATGCTTCAAATTCTGATGAAAATCGAAAAGAAACTTTATCTCGAGTCTCCAATTTATCTTCGACTACATTAGCCATATGCGTAAAGTCTAAATCATTAGAAGGTAAGGAAATAGATAATTTTCTGATTGAAAAACATAATGAACAGATTCGTAACGAAATAAGAGAAAAAAGCTTCAACATAAGCCACCTACTGAAAGTTCTCCAAAAGAGGACACTTACATATCTAATATTAAATCTAGTATTCCTCCCGAGCAGAAAAAGGAGCAAGGTTTAATACAAGAGATTTCAACATCCATTAAAGATCAGAATGATATAACTAGAATTTCACAGAACAATATTCGTCAAAATCATATGACTGAAGTCGCTTCAGACCAAGATATCATTTGTTTATACCAAAATGCATGTGATGCAGAAAAAGATGCTATCAAAGCCAATCAAGAAGAAATATTATGCTGGTGTTTCTACGCTAAAAAGTTTAAAGGTTTGGTTAAAGATTTTATGGTTAATGGTAGAGTTGGAGAGAAAAAAGCAAAAGGACAAGTATACGATTTTATTATTCAACATCTTCCTAACACAAAGCGTGAAAACTTATGCAAGCAAACACAAAAAGCATTAAGAGTTTATAACTTATTCGAGAAAATAGGAATGGATAAGATTCAGTATACCAAATCTTATACTGCAGATAGTATTTCAAGATTTACTAATTTACAGATTCAAACGATTATTGATCATTTCACTAAAAACCCTGCGATAGAATTCACCGATCATTCTTCTGATGACTTACTCAAAACTGAGATTAATGAGGAAGCTAAAAGAATTTCATCAAAAACAGAGGTAAGTATTACAACCACCCCCTCTATCTAGGGATGTTACGGTCCGGTCTTGGTCCTAAAGACCGGTCCTAACAGAGGACCACGGACCGGACCATGGTCCAGGACTTGTCCAGGACTAGAGGCGTTACGGTCCGATCCGGACCGGTCTTGGTTTACCGGTCCAAGACCGGTCTATTATTGACTAATAGAAATTCAGAATTTCAAAACTTGGTAAGCCTGTAATACGGTACATACACTGGGGTTCTACGTCAGTTATGTAAATCAAACCTATATCAGGTCCTATTATAAATTTTATTATTGAAGATTTTTTACTAATCGTATAACGATAATAGATTAATTATATAATTTTTATTACAGCGATATTTATTACATTGTCGGTTATAAACTGCGGGT